CTGGTCTGGTGGGAGGTGTCCCTGCCCATGGCAGGGAGTTGGAACTCCATGATCTTTAAGGTCCCTTCCAACCCAAGCCATTCTATGATTTTATAAGACTAGAAAGCCATACTATTGTACAGGAGATGCATCATATTCTGCTAGGAAATTGCTTTGTTTAGGGAATTAATTGTTTTACCATTTCAGAATAAATACTGCATTTTTGTTGGAAGCCACCTTTTCAGCAGCACGTTCGGTGGATTGTCCATAAGGGAAAACTGGCAAGAAATCCAGCTTTTTACAGTAGAGGAACACAATTAAGATACCTCCTAATAGCCTGAACCTTCTGAATATTTTAAACATTTTGGGGTATTTGGGGGGTTTTAAATGGCAGCACAGCTTGGCTAAATGAATGGGAACGCGTGTAACACCCAGAGCTTCGCTTGAGCCACCGAAGATACCTGCCAGCATCGTGCAGATTTAAAATCTGTCTTCTGAGACTGAGGGTTGTGTTTTGGTTTTTTTCCCCAAAGATTTTTACTACACTCCCATCAGCCTGGGAGCTGGGTTTTGGCATCCTCTCCCCGACACATGGGCTGTCGAAAAGGCGGTCCAGGCTCCCAACGCAGAAGGAGGACGAGTTCTGTTAGAAAAGCACCTTTCCACAGTCTTTTCTTTCCTTACTCCTGTTCTTGTTTTCTCCGGACGGTCCAAGTTTAGGTTTATGTGTTGTTGTTTTTTTTCATTTAAAGTGCTTTAACTGGATATCCTGGTTGCAGCTTTGACAGCTTGTTTACAGTTCGCGTCTGCCTGGGGGCAGCTGAAGGCGAGCGAGGTAGTTTTGCTGCCAGGAAAAGGATGTGCTGGTAGGATTACTGAGGTTTTAAAAAAGAAAAAAAAAAATAGAGCCAGGGAGAATGACATAGGTGGAATTATACCATGGGTCTGCAATTTTATCATATCCCGGTTGCAGCTTTGACAGCTTGTTTACAGTTCGCGTCTGCCTGGGGGCAGCTGAAGGCGAGCGAGGTAGTTTTGCTGCCAGGAAAAGGATGTGCTGGTAGGATTACTGAGGTTTTAAAAAAGAAAAAAAAAAATAGAGCCAGGGAGAATGACATAGGTGGAATTATACCATGGGTCTGCAATTTTATCCTATGGGAACTCATAGTAGTATTCCCTTCTTCTCCACCCCGCTCCCAGCTTTAACTTAAAGAGGGAAAACTGCTGCGTGTGGAAGAGAAAAATGCAGCTGAAAGTCCTGGCTAGAAAAGGCTTAGATTCTTTTAATTGACAGCAAAGCTAAGAGTAGTCTCTGGCTTTTTGACTCAATAAGAAAAATTATTTGGAAGGAATTGTACTGTGGGAATCCCTTTCTTTCCCCACTGGCTAAGGATTTAGGTGCCAAAGCGAACACCTCGCTCTTCGATGGCAGAATTTTTTAAGCACTGAATTAATAAAAAAAAAAATGCTCATCAATTTCGGCAGGTTTTGGCTTCTACTTACAGAGCCTTTGTGTTTCCATCCCTTGGTTTGCAGAGTTGAACCTTTAAATGTGACAGGGGAGGTGGGACGAGGGTTCTGCAGAAGGAGGGGTCTGACTGGGGTTTCTGGGCTGGTTTCCTCCCTGCTTTCTGCTGCCGCTCTCCTGGGACAGAGCCCGGGAAATATGGTGCTTTTTCCTTTTTTCCAAGGGTTGGGGGGGGGACCCTGCCTGGATCCTGGGACCTGGCTCTCCCTGCCGAGGAGGGAAGGAAAACTTCTGGCATCAGGATGACTTTCGCCCATGCCTGCGGGGCTGGCAGGGGAAAGGCTTTGTGCTTTGTTTGGTGTTGGCTGCCGAGGCTTCAGACCCAAAATGTAGATTAAAAATACCCATTTTAAATGTTATCTTGGCTCCCCAGGACAGAATTGAAAACCGTCTCAGTAAATAGAGTGAATATACTACTTTGGGTCAAATTCTGCTTTCTTTACTAAGGCAAAGCTCTGGTGGGGCTGCACTAGAGACTGCAAAGTGTCTTGTTCATAAGAGGGAAAAAAACCCCAGTATTGCTTATTTCTGGGGAATTAGCACAAAGCTCAAAACTCTGTGGGGAGATTCTCCTGTCCTGTCTCTGGAGCCAAACTTAAGTTGTTCTGAGCAGGCTGGAGCCAGGGGGGTCGAGCTGGGGGACCCTCCAGCCCCCCATGTCCCCAGAGGGAGGGCAGGGGGTTCCTGCCTGTCCGAGAGCCTTCTGCTGCTCTGACATGGTGTTCAACGAAGACCAGGCTTTCAGTGGAATGAGTGACATGTAGCAGCCTGCTGAGATGTTGGAGATACCAGCGTAGAGATTTATTATTTCTTTTTTTCTTTTCTAAGCACATGGTTGTTCATACAAAGAGCTCAGTGTAGATACTAACAATTAAGCCTAATTTATGAAATCGGGACGCTCCTTGCCTGAAGTTACTTCTGTTTTTTAAAAATTGACATACTGTGACAGATGGACTTCTCCTTACCTATTTTCAGTTGCTTAAGGGACTGCTGATCTCTCATTTTGAGACCAGGCCATTGAAGCTTTGGGGGATCACAGGGAACTACCGGTTGGGCCCATATTATTGTCCTTTGAAACGATGGATATTCTGGAACTACCAGAATATTTTGAGTTATATGGACCAAATCTGGGTTCTGAGTAAGACAAGTGGCACTGTACTAGTCATTAATTTGGTCCTTGATGAAGACACCTCTAAAACAATAGGGTAAAATACACACAGGTGCCCAAGTCCTGCTGAGGATCAATAGGAAGCTGTAGGTTCCCAGCTGATGTAGGTGCCTTTGAAGAAGTTGCCCTGGAAGCTGTTGAAGCAAAACACAGAAGATGTGGTGTGTCACATGCGGCCTACGGAAAGTGTGTCACACCTGCTTTTTGGCTGGTGGCCCTAGGCTGAGCCACAGCACAAGATACGTAGCTGGCCCAGGTTGAACCACTCTAGAAAAAAAAAAAAAAAAAAGGCATATGGGATGTTTGTTCCCCCCTCACAAATGTGGCTTTCCCACAAAAAGCTGCAGAAACTTAATGACTTGAGGCCTGACCCAGTTCTCCCTCGTGTGGGGAACTCCCACTGAAGCTCAGCAGGAGTTTGGCAGAAGTTTCCAGAGGTCTAACGTGCTGGCCCTCATCATGGCCACGCTGCTCACTTATTCATTGGTTTTGTCCCTTTGAGACTGTGGGCCCTCCCAGGCAGGGAACCTCGGTCCCTGTGTTTGTACCACTGCCCTGATTAGGGCATGTTATGAGAAATTATCTGTATTTCATATGTTGCCCAGCCTTCTCCTATCCACATGTCTAAGATAACACTGTTTACAGTCAGAAGAGCATTCTCTAAAGAGAGAATAATTTAAAGGATCCTCTTCCACAGTTAGGAGGAGCAGCATGAAGAGCCATGGGCACACTGGGACAGTTCTGCTCTTAGCAGATGGTTTGCAGTCCACTAATTATGCTTCACCTGATGTCCTAGGGTGGTGAGACACTGGAACAGGTTGCCCAAAGAAGCTGTGGCTGCCCCATCCCTGGAATTTTTCAAGACCAGGCTGGACGGGGCTTTGAGCAACCTGCTCTAGTAGGAGGTGTCCCTGCCCATGGCAGGGAGGTTGGAACTTGATGACCTTTGAGGTCCCTTCCAACCCAAACCATTCTATGATTCTGTGATTCTACATGTTGGGAAGGCTCTGGCCATCTCCTTGGGCAACATAGACCTTGCACTGCAGAGCTGATCCTTGTTGAAAGCAGAGGAAAATAGAGAAGGGTTTCTTCTGGCTTGTCTTTTTGTTGGTGGATCTTGGGCATAGACCTTCTCAATAGTCAAGGGTACTGGGATCCCCTGGCTGGCAACACAGCTTGCCAGTAAGCACAGTCGTGGGCATTTTTGGAATACAGTATTCCAAAATATTTGGAATAGAGGGTATTTGTACAAGTAGCTCTATATAATAGAATTCTGCTTTGAGGCTTAGGGGATATCTCAATGTGGAAACGCAGACACACTGAGTAAGAGAAAAAGTTCAATAGAAAGAAAACTAAGCGTGTGTAAATGTGTGTGTGTACTGGTAAATTCCAGGAGCTTTGAAATTTCATTACTGTTTATAGCTCAGGGCAAGGAGAAACATCTCACATGTGTATGGAGAGTAAATAAATACAGTGCACACAGCCCTCTGTAGATATGTTTATCTCACTTTAACATTATACTGAGTGCTGTCTGTAACCTCCATAAATACCACAAGAAGTGAAATGGCTTACACGATAATTAAAATGCTGTTTCTGCTGAGAGTCATGTCCTCCACTACCACCACCACCCCCCTCCCTTCTCCTTTGCCGGAGGAGCTCCGCTGATGGGCACGTGTTAATCAGGGCACGCAGGTGAAAGTGGCTTTGAGCCACGGGACTTCTTGTTAATTGTGGTCAGGCCATCAAGATGATCAGGTCCCTCCAGGGGACACGGGGGCAGAGCAGCTGTACTGCTAGAATGGAGGCTCGGCAGGAGTTTGTACGTGGTCATTGTGCCCAACATCATAACTGTGGGCTTGGCCCATCTGTGCCCGGTGAAGTCCACCTGCAAGTAAAATCTCTCTTGAGAACTTCCATGGAATGGAAGGATCAAAGGCAAGGCTGTAGGTAGGGCCTCGTAGAGAAGGTGCTGTTTGAGAGAGAAGTGGGGAGGTTTGGGTCCTGGCTCGTTGTGTTCCCCTCTGTGGGTTGTCTAGTCTAACTGAGAATTAGGGGTGATAGTTTTTTCCCTGTTGTGCTGAGATTTCAATTTTTTTCAAGGTGGGACAACATCCTACCACATGTTTGAGCAACCTGGTCTAGTTGGAGGTGTCCCTGCCCGTGGCAGGGGGTCGGAACTGGATGATCTTTAAGGTCCCTTCCAACCCGAACCATTCTATGATTCCATGTTCACGCAACGATAGCAAGGGGGTCCAGCTTCGGCTGGGGCTATGACTTAAATCACACGACATTCACCCCAAATCTCTCTTCCTCCTCCTAATTTAGCACCTGAACAATGCCTGGGAGTCGGCGTCCTGCGGGAAGATCGAGGACCAGATGGCCCTGACGGATCAGGCGCGCAAGTACATGGCCGCCTTCCCCACCCGGACTCTGGTGATGTGAGAGGGTCGACGGACAGAGAAGCATTATGGTTTCGAGAACACTTCACCTCCGCTGGGAAATTCCTGTTCCTCGGCATGAAAACTTTTCATGAATGGGAGAAGAGCCTATTTTTGTTGTGGTACAACAGTTGGGAGCAGCACAAAGTGCATTTAGTCACTCAGCATATATATTCTTGTTGGATTTCACCCAACTTAAGAGGATTTTTTTTTTTTTTTGAATAAATGATACTTGCCTAAATTATTAGGTATTAAGTTTGAATCAGTAATTAATGATCTTAAGTGCAGACTTATAATAAGGGTAATTTTTTTTGTACTTTTTGAGATCAAGCAAACCTAATACACCAGTATTGTTATTTCAGTGATGTGTTAGCCAGGGATGGGGTCTTGTTCGTTTCTTTTTTTTATTTTTTTATTTTTTTTTTAAATAATAAAAGAGCAGGTACTCAAACGGATATATTTTAAATCACTGAACAAAAATGCATTGGTGTAAAATACCGAAGTGAAAAGCATTACTACAAACGCTAGTCTGTGCAAAGGGGGAAAACTGATCAAGATCGTGAATGCTCAAACATCCATGCCTCTTGAAATAACTCTTTCATTCTCTTTTGGTTCTAGGCCATTATACGTTGTGTGTTTCTGTTTGGGGGGGGAGGGGGAGGGTAATTAGCTTGCTTTAAAAAAATATTACTGTATGAAACATAGATTTATGAGAAAAATTATATTTTTATTCAGTAATTTAATTTTGTAAATGCCAAATGAATACTGTGTTTTGCTGCTACAGACCTTAGTGTGTAGACATGCTGCTAGTGTAAAAGGAGCAGTAGAGCTTTATATGGAAAGATAAAAAAGTTGTTGTTAGCTAATTGACTATGCACTAGCATTTCAGACCTTTTTATTTTAATTTTTTTTTACATGGTTTATATTTTTTTTCCCCTTTTTTGTTTTTTATAAGCAATATCTTTGAACACTGTTCCTGGGAGATTTTTTTTTTTATTATTTTTTTGTTGGATGTGTTGTTTTGTTCCTCATTGGTTTGTAAGAGCATGCATTGCACCTTCATATGTTTGGGAGAACACTGTCTTGTTCATGTTGTCTGTTTTGTTCCATGTCTAGCTAATTGTTCCCTAACTTGGGTCTCGTGTACCGAATCAGGTTCTTAGAAATACATGGTTCTTTGTACTGCCATACCAAATCTTTATCGATATGGCAAAACACTGATTTTATTTTTTTTTATTTTTTATTGTTTGGTTTTTTTTATAACAGCCTCTGACTTTGCTGCCTTAATAGCATTGGGTGCAGCTTCACCTGCACTTAATTTTTTTATACGACAATGTACTGCCTTGTAGATAAATAAAGTGTGTTCTTTTTTTACTTAAACCCGCATGGTCTACCTAATCTTGTTTGTCTTGCATGTTTTGGTGCGGTTGTTATAGGCAACAATCAAGCCAAGAAGTTTTGCTTCCAGCCTGCTCAGATAAGTAAGGAATAGGGTTTCACACACCATAGGGAACCTCAGCATCCTTGGTTCTCATGGGTTGTTGAGGACGTGGAGGGAGCACAGCACAAAAGAGTGACTATTGAGGACGTTGAGGACCAGAGGAACATCTCTGGTGACACCAAAGTCCAGGTCAGGATCAGCCAGGGGGGCACTGATTGCATCTTTATGTGCAAATCTGCTGTTCTCATTCATTTCTTCTTCTCAGACCATCAGATCAGGAGCCAACCGAATCCAAGCAAAATATAGGAGTTCCTATGCTGTAGAACAGATTTTAATTTTTTTTCATGCTTGTTTTAAGTCAGAGGTGAGAAGATACGTGGAAACCTGGTGTGTTACATGGCACAGCAAATAGTCAGGCAGAGCTGCAGAGCCTCATGAAGAGTTAGCGCTGAGGACATTCAGCCCCAGGAACTCTAGGGAGCAAAAGCAATTGCCAATGAAACAAAAAAAAAAGAAAAAGAGGCAACTTGCCAGGAAAAAAAAAACTCCAGGTGGGTACTGATTGCACCTTTATGTGCAAATCTGCTGTTCCCATTCATTTCTTCATCTCAGACCATCACATCAGGAACCAACCGAATCCAAGCAAAATATAGGAGTTCCTATGCTGTAGAACAGATTTTAATTTTTTTTCATGCTTGTTTTAAGTCAGAGGTGAGAAGATACGTGGAAACCTGGTGTGTTACATGGCACAGCAAATAGTCAGGCAGAGCTGCAGAGCCTCATGAAGAGTTAGCGCTGAGGACATTCAGCCCCAGGAACTCTAGGGAGCAAAAGCAATTGCCAATGAAACAAAAAAAAAAGAAAAAGAGGCAACTTGCCAGGAAAAAAAAAACTCCTCCATTTTATTTAGTAGCTTGAAAATAAATAAATTGTTGAAATTTAAGTTGATGCAAGCACTTTGAAGCGAGAAAATATATACATAAGAGGTTCCATCTAAACACGAGGAAGAACATCTTTCCATTGAGGGTGGCAGAGCCCTGGAAGAGGCTGCCCAGGGAGATGGTGGAGTCTTCTTCTCTGGAGACATTCCAAACCCACCTGGACACGTTCCTGTGCAACCTGCTCTGGGTGGACCTGCTTTGGCAGGGGGTTGGACTAGATGATCTCCAGAGGTCCCTTCCAACCCCATATCATTCTGTGATTCTGTATGTTTGGAGTGGTTACCTCAGGCAGGACCCCGGGCAGTGCTGGGTATGGATGGTGGAGAAGGGGAAGTCCACGGGAGCACTTGACTTGCCCGTGCAAGGGCTGCCGTAAAAACGCTTGCGCAAGATGGGAGGGAAGCTGGTGGGACTCGATGGTGTGCAAGGTGGGAAGAGGGAAAGGGCCACCTTTGAGGCACGCCACAGCATAAAAGGAAAAAAAAAATAATAAAAATACAAGAAGAAAAAAGGGGAAAAAGAAACAGCAAGCTTACAACAGGTCTCCAAGGCAAAGCTCTTGCCTGGGAGGGCTCCAGCTGTAGCCACACCAAGTGTGGCTGAGTTTAAACAGCTGGAGGAGCAGTGCTGGGAAACGGGGTGGCTCACCCTGCAGGTGCCCAGCATAAGGACTGGGGTGTTTTTTTTCACACACACCCCCCACACACACCTTCAGTTGCTTTAAAACCCTCTTTTTAACATGCAAACCCCTCGCAATAATCGCCTTGTTGATGGGCACACACTCAGAGCTAATACAGAGGAAAATGTTTCTCTCTTCTCCC